AGCGCGACAGCTTGTCGTGTCGCGGCTTGGGCGCTGCAATCTAGGGTGCCGCGGCTATGTTAAAGGAGTGTTGCAGCAGTTACGAAACAGTTATATGATGATTTTTGAGGCCCACGTGGCAGCATACCAGAAACAGAACGTGTGCTGACGTGTACAAGCAGTTAAACCACGAAAAAGGTGGTTAAAAGTCGTGGGAGGACAGTTTCAAGCACGATGGAACGTGCTGGTAACTGCCCCTGTGGCCGCTGCAGTTCATGCTGCCGCGCCAATAGCCGCTGCAGTCCGGGATGTCGCGGTCAAAGGGATAGTCGTTGATCGGCTATTTCTTCAGTTATTGTCCAAGGAGGCTATAAATACCCCCCTATGGCCATCATTGACAGGGGCTGAGCATTTTCCAGAGAGATTAGAGCAGAGAGCCTTGAGTTTTGGTGAATTAGAGCAAGAGAGAGAGTCTTCCTTCTTCACAAACATCCTCAAGAAGCTTCTAGCGAGTCCTAGAGATCTAAGCTCAGACTTGATCTTTGGAAGAGTGAACATCTTACATCGATAAGATATTCGCTTCAAATTCTTACTTCGATAAACGAAGGAAGAATCATTAAACCCCTCACGGTTCAATCAGAATCTGTGCTTCGGTGGTCCACGAGTCAAAGCACTCCCGGCACAGGCAAAGATCCCACGCAAGCAGCGATCCTAACAACGATCCTGCGTTTGTTTCTCAAGAGTTGTAATTTTTATTTTGTTGTGTAAAAGAAGTCTTATAAAAAGACTATTTCTTTGAATTTATTGTAATCGACCGAAGATATAATGAATTCCATGACAAAACCAACTTTTGACCCAAACAAAAGTCTCACAAATAAAACCCTTAAACCAACGCTCAAATCTCTCACAATGTCTCTTAGGGATGCACAAACCCTCTCAAGTTCGGCTCCAAAGAGTGCTCTCTATCTCCTCAACACAGCAGAAATTTTCCCTTCTTTGCTTTTTCTTCTTGCCGCAGCCAAAAAAAAATTCTGCCGAAAACAACCACAGCCGAAAAACAAAACTTCCTTGCACGCAACCCTAGGCACCGATAGCAAGCTATATATATAGCTGCGGGAGAAAAATCGGTTCGTGGAACGCATCCGCACCCACACCCACCAAATATCGCTGCATGTGAGTAGGTGGACCCATGTCCCCACTATCTCCTCACGCGCTCACAAACCTCGGGTGGGCTGAATGTGGGTGTGGCCCCCACCCCCCACATTCACACCATCACCTTGCATCATGGTGATTGGTGGATGATAGAAACGTGCATTTGTATGATGATGATGATGATGATGATGATGCTTATGAGGATGAGCATGATGATATGGAATTTTGTGAGGTTGGATTTGTTTGGGAGTATTTGGATGAAGAAGGATGATGTGTTGTGGATGAGATGTGAGAAAATTGGTATGACTTCATTGTGTTTGAGTATATTGAGAATAACCACCTCATTTATATGTACCTTCAGTTGCAGTTATTACCCCTCAACTATTTTAGTAGCACTTAGATTCGTCAGCAAGAGGGGGTTATCTGCAATTCTATTTCACAAATATGAAGCCGGGGTATTAAAAGGTGATAAATGCAATTTGCCCTTTTTCCTTGACCAATTTGTAGAGGGCTTCACGTATGTAAGAATCTCTTGTAGTGACCCTCGTCTATTTTGTCAATTTTTGAAAGGGTTGATTGCGTATAGACCACTGTACTATTGGCTATTGCCCAATTGCTGATAAACCCCCTGTAGTTTTATTGTTGCAGAGAAACCCTATAAGTGCAAGGTTTTTTACTCCTTTACCCTAAGAAGAGTCTATTTTTCAAAAAATAATGTTCTCTTTCTCTGAGGGAATAGAGGCAGAGAAGTTTCAGTTTTACTCCGGGGGTCTATCTGCAACATTTCACAATAGTCACAGTAAAATCCTTGAACTAATACTGCAAGTTGCAAGCAATTTGGAAATCTGATCATAACCCTACATTTGCAAGCTGGGTATTGAAATCGAAGTCAACATGCAAATTAAATGGCCACAATATGGATTAGTATCTTACAGCAACATAGATCAGTACTACTGTTGATAATAGTGTATTGTAGTGGGTTTTAGTCCCACATTGCTTGGGAGAACAAACCTCACACTCCTCTACTTGTATAAATATATGTGCACACTCAATATTCAATTCAAGGGAAATTTACCCAAGATTCTCTCTCTCTCTCTTACTTTAACATGGTATCAGAGCTAGGGCTATTTCCCTTTCAATAAAATTTTTAACGCTTTTGCGTTCTTTTGCCAAATCTTGGCCTTATTGCTTTGCAGCCGTTTAATGTTTTATTTTTTTTTATTTTTATTTTTAATTATTTGGCGTTCATCTGCCAGATATTTTGGCCTTGTCGTTTTGCGGCCTCTTAACGCGTTTCGCGTTCTCGTTTAACCTTCGGGTTCTATTTTAAACCTTCGGGTTTCATTCTAACCTTCGGGTTCTATTTTAACGGCATTGTCGTTTCAAGACCGTCTCTCGGTCTCAAATTAACGGCATCGTCGTTTCAAGCCGTCTCTCGGCCTCAAACGAACGACATTAGTAACAGCATCTCGACATCTTAACGTCTCAAGATTGCTGTTATGGCTCCTTCAGAGAAGATTCCCAAACCACCTTTGCCCCTCAATGATCAAAGTGACTGGGCAGGGTGGTCCACCATTGTCACCAATGCCTTGCGTGGCGCTGGTTTGCTTGATCATCTCACCAGTACGGGACCAGTTCCACCGTCCATCAGCACTGTTGCTTCATCCAGTACTATTGCCTCTGGCAGTGGTGATGTCGATCTTCAGACTGCTCGTGCTCTCTATGTCAAGGAGAGTTCAGAGTGGCAATTGCAGGAATTTCGTGTTATGGATTATCTCACTCGCTGTGTTGGCTCTGGTCTCACTGTCGAGATTGGCTCGCTTCCCTCTGCTCAGGCCATGTGGACTCGTCTCACTGAGCGTTTCACTGAGTGCTCGGGTGCACGGGAGGCATATCTTCTGCAACGCATTTCTCTACAACGCAAAGGTAGTTCATCTCTGCAGTCCCATTTTGGACAAATGCAAGCTTTTTGGACAGAGTTACGCTCCATGCTTCCTGGACGTAATTCCACATATGAAGACTGGCTAGCCTGGTACGAACGGCATGAGGTGCATCAATTGTTTCAGTCCCTTCCTGAATATTCAACTATGGCTGATCAACTACTTCACCAGCCTCAATTTCCGACTTTGGCCTCAGTTATGGGAGCTCTCACTGCTTATGAGACCCGGCAGCAGACAGCACGACTCAATTTGTCAACAGACACTCCTACCTCTTCACTCGAGACTGTTTTGTCTGTACCTGTCACTGCTCCTGTTATGAATTATACTTCTCCACAGGCTCCCTCTCCACAGGCTCGATCTAAGCTCTCTTGCAAATATTGTAAGAAGGAAGGACACCGCATTGAGACATGCTTCAAGCTTCATCCTGAGTTACGTTCCTCAGGTACTGGACGTGGTCGGCGACCCCCTCAGTCTCAACCCTCTCGTACACCAGGATTGTTGGCCAATGCTATACCTTCTACTACTTCAGACTCTACTATTCAAGCTATTGAAAGTCTTCGCCGTCAACTTGATGCTTTTCAACATATCACCTCTACATCCGCCGCACAACTCTCTGGTATGCATTTTGCTGGTTCTTCAGCTAATCCTTCAGTCTCTGGTATGAATGATCTCTGGATTTTTGACTCTGGTTGTTCCTTTCATATGACTTGTAATGCCTCACTTTTATCCTCTGTCTTTACTTCATCCTCTCTTCCTCCTATCTACACAGCTGCTGGACAACCATTGTCCATTACTCAGTATGGCTCTATTACCCCACAAAATGATCCATCTGGTCGTCTAACACTTGGTCCCGTCTATGTGGCTCCACAATTGTGCTTGAATTTAATTTCTATTAGCTCTTTATGCATGGCGGGCCTGTTTGTCTCATTTTCTTCTGATACTTGTATTGTGCAGGATCCACAGACGGGCAAGACGGTTGGGGCGGGTCGTAGGAGGCACAAACTGTATTTTCTGGAATATCTTCACCTTCCAGAGTCCATACGTCCACGTTCTCTTGTTGCTTCTCTTTGTTCGTCAAAACCCTCTACCTCGCTTCCTGCCAATTTATGGCATAGACGACTTGGTCATGTGTGTAATAAAAGGCTGGAGAGTCTTATTCAGTCTGGAGTACTTGGTCCTGTATCATCTAGTTCTAGTATTGAGTCATGTGCTGGTTGCAAATTGGCTAAATTCACTGCTTTACCATTTAAAATGAGTACATCTGTATCCACTTCCTTATTTGATTTAGTACATTCTGATATTTGGGGGCCAGCTCCTTTGCCTTCTTCATCTGGCTACTTATATTATGTTAGTTTTATCGACGATTTCTCTCGTTTTACATGGGTTTACCTACTTAAGAATCGCTCTGACGTACTTACTGCTTATCAAGCCTTCACTGCTATGATTTTCACTCAATGGCAATCTCGTATTAAAGTTTTTCGTTCTGATTGTGCCAAAGAGTACCTATCCTCTGCCATGCGCTCTATCATGTCCTCTCATGGGACTATCTTTCAACAGTCATGTCCCTACACTCATGAGCAAAATGGTGTTGCTGAACGCAAACATCGTCATATCCTCGATACTGCCCGATCAATGCTCATTTCTTACTCTGTTCCTCGTCGTTTCTGGGCTGAGGCTATTCTCACCGCGACTCATGCCATTAATATCACTCCATCTAGCTCTCTTTCCGGTGCTACTCCTTATAGTCGTGTTTATACTCATCCTCCCCGTTATGATCTAGTTCGCGTTTTTGGTTGTCGATGTTTTGTTTTTCTGCCATCTCACGAACGTGATAAATTGTCTCCCAGAGCAGTTTCTTGTGTTTATTTAGGAATTAGTTCAGAACATCGAGGTTATCGTTGTTATGATCCCGCAACTCGTCGAGTTCATATATCTCGTCATGTTCAGTTCGAAGAGGATTCTCCATATTATTCTACTTCTGATGACTTTAATTTCCTCCACTCTACCGATCATGCTTCCCCGTCCACTGCATCACCCACTTCTTCACCTCAATTTTCCTTTCGAGATCTCCCTGACATCTCTCCCTCTCCTTCTGTTGACTCTTCCTCACCTGAGTCTTCTCTTACACCATCTAATCCATATCCTGTGGACACAACTCTCACTCCAGAAAATACTGTTGATCTTCATGCACCTGCGCCAGCATCTCCCCCGCCTGAGGTTCCTCTTGCTCTTCGTCGAGGCAAACGCCCACATGTCATGCCTGCCCGGTATGCTTCTGTTACTTCTTATTCACCTATCTTTCATAACTTTCTTGCTGCCATTCATACTATTGTTGAGCCAAAGTCCTTCCAAGAGGCAGTTCAAATTCCAGAGTGGCGACAAGCTATGGCTGAGGAATTTCAAGCATTTCAGCAAACTCATACCTGGGATATTGTTCCCTGTCCTCCTGGGATCTCTCTTGTTGGCAGTAAATGGGTTTATAAGGTCAAGTTTCGTCCTGATGGCACCATTGAACGTCGAAAAGCTCGTTTAGTGGCTAGAGGTTTTACTCAGCAACAAGGTATTGATTATGAGGAGACCTTTGCTCCTGTTGCTCAGATGCCCACTGTGCGTACTCTCCTTGCGGTCGCTGCTGCTCATCGTTGGCCCTTATACCAGATGGATGTCAAAAATGCTTTTCTTCATGGCTCTTTATCAGAGACCGTATATATGCAACCGCCTCCAGGGTCAAATATTCCTCCGGGACATGTATGTCTCCTTCGTCGTGCTGTTTATGGTCTCAAACAGGCACCCCGCGCTTGGTTTGAGTGTTTTCGCGATGTTGTGCTCAAAGCGGGCTTTATAGAAAGTCATCAAGATGCTTCTCTGTTTGTTCGCACTACATCGCGTGGCAGGGTTTTATTACTCATCTATGTAGATGATATGATCATTACAGGTGATGATATGACAGGTATACAATACGCAAAATCTCAGTTGCAACAACAGTTCCACATGAAGGATCTTGGATCTCTTCGGTATTTCCTTGGTCTAGAAATTTCTCAAGGCCCGCGGGGTGTATTACTGTCTCAACAGAAGTATCTCTCAGATATTCTAAATCAAGCTGAGTTAACTGATAATACAACTGTCGATACTCCACTCCAGCAGAATGTCAAACTTTGCTCTACTGACGGTGAGCCTCTATCTGATCCTACCCGATATCGACATCTTGTTGGTCAGTTGGTCTATTTGTGCATCTCTCGACCAGATATCTCTCATGCTGTTGGTATTGTCAGTCAATTTGTTAGTGCCCCACGTTCTGTACACTATGCTGTCTTATTACGGATTCTTCGGTACCTCCGGGGTACTAGCACTCGCTCACTTTTGTTTCCTGCTACATCTAAGTTAGAGCTTTGTGCATATTCTGATGCTGATTGGGCTGGTGATCCAACTACCAGAAAGTCTACCACAGGTTATTGTATATTTCTTGGTGATTCCCTTATTTCCTGGCGAAGTAAGAAACAAGATGTTATTGCTCTTTCCAGTACTGAGGCAGAGTATCGTGCAATGTCCACAACAGCTAAAGAGATTATTCATCTTCGTCGCCTTCTCAGTGATTTCGGTATTTCTGTTACGACTCCTACTCCTCTCTACTGTGATAATAAGAGTGCCATCCAGATTGCTAATAATCCAGTATTTCATGAAAGGACCAAACATATTGAGATCGACGCTCATTTTGTCCGTCACCAAGTTATCAAGGACAAGACAATTCTACTTCCTCATGTTTCATCCGCTGACGAGCTTGCAGATTTCTTCACAAAGGCCTTACCTGTTCATCGGTTCCAGTTTCTTGTACGCAAACTCACTTTGTTTGATCCAACATGAGTTTGAAGGGGGCTGTTGATAATAGTGTATTGTAGTGGGTTTTAGTCCCACATTGCTTGGGAGAACAAACCTCACACTCCTCTACTTGTATAAATATATGTGCACACTCAATATTCAATTCAAGGGAAATTTACCCAAGATTCTCTCTCTCTCTCTTACTTTAACAACTACATTCCAATTGAACCTTCAAAGCTTCACAAACTTTACATTCAAAATCACCATCCATATGAACATCCAAATACTACCCATATTCAGTCTATCTAGCAGAAGGAAGATTCATATTGTTTGATGAGTTACAACTCAAAATTTCAAGTTGGCTGGAAGGGAAACTCACATGCAAAGCAAGCACATTTGATGAGCTTGAAGATGAACCAGAGCTTGGTTTGCTTCCTTTCTCTATTTTAATCGCGTCCTGGATGGCCAATTCTACTTCTTGCATCCTCGGCCTACAAACTCCGTGAGGCTCAACACTGAGGATTGCGATTTCGGCAATCCTCCACAGAGATTCAATTTTGAAGGTTCCGATAAGAGAAGGATCCACGATATTTGATATGTCCCCTTTACGCAGCAGCGACCTTGCCTGCATTAGTATTACACATGATGTTATTGTCTGGATTATCAACCTCTAGTTATCAGAAAATATGAAAGTGGGTATCGGAAATGATCAACAGAAGATCACATGGACTTACTAAGCGTCAACGCCACAGTATCTTTTTCCTTGGCGCCAATTTTAATTAAGTAGGCAAGAATTGTCCAATAGAGGTGTAGAACAAATGTATGCAAGTTTTAGATTTCCTCCAAATTTTGCTTACATAGCTTACACAATGTCTAACAAGAAGTGGTTGTGGAAATTTAACAAAAAAAAGATAATTAGATGAGATAATCTTTCACATTTCTTTGGCATCCATGTATATCTTAGAAAGGACATTGATGAGCAAATGATTATCACATCCAATTTATGCGACTCAAACTATGTCACCTACATATCTACATGGTGTTAGACTCATATCTTGCAATAATATAGAAAATAAACAGATGAGATTCATACCCAATGAACAATGTTCCAATCGGAGCCATAATCTTCCACCGAGAAGGGCTTCCTTCCGGAAATTAGCTCCAGGAGTACAATTCCAAAACTATAGACATCGCTCTTATCATTCAATTGTTGGTTCGCGTAGTATCTGAACGATAAATAAGAATCTGTCATATTTCTGACAGAAATAGCAATATGCAGCGACAATAAGTAGCTAATAGCTTACTCAGGATCGAGATATCCAACTGTTCCTCGTGCAACACTTGATATGTGGGTAAAATTTTCTTCAGCTTGTTTAGAAAGCCCGAAATCTGACACCTTAGCCCTCATATTGGTGTCTAATAAAATATTACTCGTCTTTACATCTCGATGTATAATGCAAGGATTGCATCCACTGTGCAAGTATGCAAGGCCTGTAGATTTTGTAAATATAACATATCATGTTACAATTAAGTCATAAAAAACCTGAAATTTTTATATGGCAAACCTTTAGCAGCATCTTCTGCAATTAGGAGACGAGAAAGCCAATTCAAACTCCTCTTCTTTTCAGAATCTGGCCAGCAAATTATTACTACGAGTTTCAGATGGATTTTCTACGTGATATAACTGGAGATGTGAGAACTTGTATGATTAGTTACCATGTATATGATTTCGCAAGGTTCCGTTATGCATATACTCGTATACAAGAATTCTTTGATGATCTTCTTCACAATATCCAACTAAAGGAACCAAGTTTTTGTGATGGACTCTTGATAAGAGAGAAACCTGAAATTATACAACAAAAGGAAAAATAAAAAATAAAGAAAAAAACATAGGATGAAAAATTTGAAATCACGACTACCTCATTCACAAATTGCTGAGTTCCATGACTAGATTGATCAGACGAGATCTTGACGGCCACTTCTTTTCCATCTTTCATTTTCCCATAGTATACAGGTCCAAAACTTCCCTCGCCAATCTTTGTAGAGAAGTTACATGTTCCTTCTTCTATCGCAGAAAGTGAAATGTAACACGCAACATCAAAATTTTCATCAGCAAACAAAGATGCACCTCGTGAAATAGAATAGCGCGTCGAATGTTTAGACACGATGCGGAACGAGTCATCTGGTCATCCAGTAATGCAAAGCATTAAAATCAAAATTTCCCTATGAGATTAAACTAATACGGATAATTGTAGGCTATTGGGAACTCACATTTTTCACTACTTTCACTCTTCAGTGACTTTCTGCGACGATTCCTTAGCAACCATAGACATCCTAACAAAAGAATTATCGAAGCAACAAATGTTCCACTGACCACAATGAGTATGAATCTCAGACTTCTTTGATGGCCTGAGCCTCCAATTATGTTTAATCCGGGATTGGCATCATAGCTGAAAATAAGTTGCACGTTGTGTTTTAATTTGCATATTTTACATCAAATTGTACAAGTATCATATCAGCACTGGTGGAAATATTGAGTCGTTAGCAAGCAAAAATATATGCGATTAGAAGATATATGACGCTAATTTGTGGGGGCACTTAGACCTTTTGAGGAGCAAGATGGGCTTTAAGCAGGGAACAGAAATTATATTGACACAAACGATCAAAGCTTTTAGGTCCAAGTTCTTGGTTATTTTTATAATATTACAGATTTTATCACTCCTTCAGTCATACAACAAGTAAACTACTTTAAATATTATTCCATGGTTTATAAGAAAAGAATATTAGTGCTAATAGCTAAGAATGAACATGTTGCAATTATAGTAACGTGAAATATGAGGTGAAGGAGTCAAGATATCTAGAGTAGAATATGGAAAATTGACATGATAATCGATGTATATATTGTGTGTATTATAACATCTGCTTCCCTATACTTACTTGATTATAAATTTGCCACTCAATAAAGCTGGAGGAATGTTTCCACTCAAACAGTTGTTTTGTACATACCTGCAACATACCAGGACTGAAACACGTCAAATGAGATGAGCAAAGCAAATATTCTAAAGACAAGAGTGAATTCAAATCGATATTCAAAGAACGCATTTTCGGCATCTGGGATGTACACTCTTAACTACTAGCACTTACAATTCTCGTAGTTTTGGTAACTCTGCAAAGTACGACGGTAACTGACCACTCAATCTATTGTTTTCCAGATGCCTGCGTGTCATAATAAAGCGATTAATGAGAAATGTTGCATTCAATTCTTGCAGTTTCGTGTAAGCACAAAATAAGAACTCACACAACAGTAAGACTTCTCAAACTGCTCATGTCCGGAATCAGTCCCCTCAAGGAATTACCATCTAACCACCTAAATTCTCATACGCAGCTAGTCAAAAATATGATTCATGTAAGAATATAAATTTCAAAGTGCTCAAGTGGTAGCATGGCATACAATTCTTCTAGCTGGTTCATCTGCTTGATCTCCATCGGTATCGAACCATTCAGGACCTTGTTCGACAGAAAACTGCGAGAAGTTGACAGCTCATGAATTGAATATTCATCTCAATTTGTTTATCAGTGTGCAATTAAGTAAAACAGTGAAGAATAAATTACATTTTTGTAATCCTTGATGGCATGGTTGAGCTGCAATTCACCCACTCCCACTGAGCAGGAACACAAGGATCGCCACTTTCATGCCTCCATGCGCCCTTAGAGGACAAGGATCGCAATGCATCCAGAATAGCATCTTGGGAGAGGCATCATCTAGATCAGAAACTGTATATACTAGATTTAAATAAAAGAACAACATGGGTAAGAAATTTATAGTTACCATCTTGACTGTCTGTTTTCGGAACAATCTGCACATATTTGCTAATCTCAATTGCATTCAGAAGTGGACCACGAGTAGAATCCCGAGTCTTGGAGAATAGACATGAAAGAACAAAGTCGAGTGATACATTCATGTAACTGGGTTCATAGAGAGCATAACTTCCATTTGCATTCTCCGCAATGTTGACTACAACATCGTTATATCCAGGTATGCTGGGCTGCAGCATAGAAAATTTTCGTGTCTCGTTTTTACCCAAATCTTCAATCTCTGCTAAATATGCATAAGCCCGGGCATTGGCAGGGAAACCATCAAGATCTAATCTGTAGGAAAGTCTTCCCTTTGTTCCAACTACAGCAGTCTGCATTACCTTAAGTGGTGGATATTCGCGTAGGCTTGTCTTTATGTTCTTGAGAGTTCTAATTCTTTTAGTGCCAGGAGCCATCCCCACAAGATAGTTCTGCCTCTGATCCAAATCCGACTCCCATATTCGATCATAAGGGTCATCAGGATACCTGCTTTAACAAATCGAAAAGGCTCAAACTCATTTTATGTTGCACAAAGTATTCCAAGAGCAAGAGGGAAAAAAGAACATGGGAAAGAAGGAAAAATTGTGGCCCGTGTCACAACTTCAGAGTATGGAACAATAAATTGAGCATATTTTTTAATGTGTCGTAGGAGTGCTGCACGAAACAATGAAATGATATAGTTGCATACCTTATGGGATTGATAGTCATGGCACCAAAGTTTATCCTCGCCGCAACTTTAAGGAAGAAATTATCCTCATAATCTGTCATATACATTGAATCATTCAACGGCCTCAGCTCAAGAGTGGATATAAAAGGGAAACCCGTCGATGCACAGCAAAGGCAAACTGGTACTGAATCTGATGGAGCCCTGACTATCATCTCTTCAACATACACCCTTGAAGCATCCTTAATTTTGACAGTCGACCAATGCGTAGCGTCCATGTAGATCTCAAACATTGGATATGGATCGTCAAAATTGGAATCCCCGTAGAGAAATGTTGCCCGTATGAGATATCTCTTTCTCTCTGTAGTAGGCAGAGTATAGCAGTACTTCTTGTTATCGGCGGGAAAATACCTGTAGGATCTGTATTGAGGGCTAATTTTATTTGTGGTATTAAATTCCACCACATTGCCGTATCTGTTGAAGCTAACATCTGACACCCAAGTGAGTCCAGTGTTGGGATCAGTGTAGTTTCCTCTAGCTCCACAATCTATGCTCACAAAATCTGCATATTATATGACTCATTGTTTATGACTAAATATGTTTCAAGTTTTATCTCCTTCAAATAAATCATATAACAGGGAAATACTGATTTATTCCTAACTTGATTAGAACTATAAAGATATTATACATTCAACATGCAAAATATACAATCTGTAAGATCAGAGTTAGAATTAAATTTATGCATCTTCATCTCCAAAACATTTCTAGGGCACCTAAATTCCTTCACTCTTCTGCGTTTCGAATAAATTTAGAGGATCAAATATATCATAAAACCAAAATACATTGGCAAGAGGGGAAAAAAAAGGTCAAACTAAAATAAACAAATAAACGACCTACATTATCCCCAAAATGGCACAGAGCAAGTCGCATTAACTTCATGTTCTTAAGCTGACATGCAAATATACGACACCCAAATACCTAAATTCTTCATCTAACACTACCCAAAACTTTTTATTTTTTTATTTTTTATAAAGACCATTTAAGCTAAAGACCCATAAAGAACACCAATCATACCTTTAACTTGACTGAAAACACAAGGAATCATCATGTGCAAACATAAAAGCAGCAAATAACATAACATGCCCATGCTTATCTCTAATAATTTCTACAGAAATTCAAAGGTTGAAGCAAATAATGTAGTAATGCCTATATATATATACATGCATGAAAGATTCAGATGAGCTCACCTTCATTGAGGAATCTACTTTAACTCTGATATTTCCTCTAAAAGATTTTGCATTTTTAGTACGTAACAGTTTCTGGAACTGTGCTTTTTGAGTTCATGGGTTTTACTGGGCCAGACTCTTTTGAATGAGACAAGACCTTAATCCAATAGAGAAATGAAACTTTTGACTTAATAAAAGTTGAGAAAATGATGGGCTATAGACACGAAGGAAAATGGAATATTAATGGGTTTATTCTTCAACTCGACGATGGAATCATCACACTGGACATCACTACTGATGTTCTTTTATGATCACTTCCAGCTTTATTCTTTAGGTATGGGGAGTTCTGGGATTGAGTTAATGCTCTCCACATCAGAAGAGTATTATTTTAAATTTATTTATTTATTTTCATGCATTTAACTTTAAATCTTCCTTTTGTTTGAACTCATTAAGAGCACGGACTTGGATAAGAAATAGCCCAAAACTCAATTTGGGCCGTTAGTCCAGAGAAGATCTAGGCTTCTGACATGTCTTCCGCCC